AATGCCAGCGAGGCATAATTAACTGCAACTCAATCAGCGGAGCAAGGGGCATGTGGCATATGGCACAAGCGTCAATGCAATTAGAGCCTGTCTGGATGTCTTGGACAGTCACAGTTCCAATCCCAATTGCCGTCTCCGGCTCCACAGGCTCATTACGTGCCAAATATGTAAGTGAGAAAGAAACTCAAGACTCGCAGGAGGCAGTGAATCAGGGAATCAGGGAATCTGGCCTGAAAGTGGGCGCCAAGACACGCCGTCGACCGTGTTAATTGCTGCAAATGCCTCAAGGTATTCCAAGGCCCACGCCCAGTTGCCCCACCCCCTGTACCCCTTTACCACCCCCTAGCCACCACCCTTTGGACCATATGTTATGTGGCAATTGTGTGTGAGGTGGCTGTAAAATGTATGCCCGCCTGCGGATTGCCAACTTGCCTTTGCCTTTGCTTTCGCCTTTGCCCGTTTTTTGTGGCCACGTCTGTGACTATGGCTAAGCATATGCACTGGGAAAAAATGAATCTGAAATTAAACAATTAAATGACATTAAATGAAACGATGATCAATTTTACGTCATGTGGTCTTAAATTTGACTTGATATGCTCGAAATGTAAGCAACAAACCAGGTCATGTAACTTTAATCCCTGTCTCGCTCTATTTCGAATTGAGACAGTTTGTACTTCTTGCTCCCTCTCACTTAGGTTGTCACACTGCTTGCCAGAAATTTACCATGTGCATATCGATTTGACCGCTACGTGTTTTTTCTATGTGAATACAAACCTTTCCAGAGAAAATTAAAAAATTCGCTAAATGATTTGTAAATTATATATAAGTGTTGGAGTTTTTCCTTTTCTTTAAATAGAATATTTTATATGATTTCACAGAGATGCCTTATTATTCCAGTGCACCTTTGGCCATGCATATTGCTCTGAAGAAATGAGCCGGGCTAGCAAAGTAAATTCCTGGAAATTAGCGCCAGAGTCAGAGAACTCAGAGACGCGACTAACTGGGACTAACTCGTGAACAAATATTAAGTAATTTTGCGCACGCATATCTCGAGAGGAGCATCGAGTGGTGCCCTCGAATGGGGAATGTATTTTTCCAACTAATTCTGTACGGGGGATTATGTCATTGTTGGGGAGCTAGAGTCTCGAGATGTACACATACGCATCTCCGAGAACCCTTTCTGTCAGTTTGGAATTTCCCTGAAGCCGTCGCATGCCCACCTCCCATTAACTCTCAGTCATTTGCAGACTAGCAGAGAAATAAATGCCTTTGCCCTTGGCTTCAATTTTCCAGCTCATTTGAGAGTTATTTACAACTCACTGCCCGACGCCCCCGAAACCAATAAGCCCCACTTCGTAGTCAAATCAGCCAACTAAAAAAAAGACGAGGAAATCAGTGCCCCCGAGAGGAGGCTTTTTGTGAAATACCTACGAATATTTGCCTCTAATGCCCGAAAGCCGGCGCGCATTTAATCATCATTAAAGTCAGAGAGTAGGAAAGTCTGGCACTGGTTCAGGTTCATGTTCATGTTCATGTCTGATGAGGTTGGGCAATCCTTCCGAATCCAAATCCTCAACCGAAAACCCCCCCTACATTTCTCACCTTTTTGCCATTTGCACTCTTCGATGCTTTCACGTTTTTCATCATCATTACCAGCAGCTTCTACGCACACAGCACGGCAAGTAATAAATAATTTCGTTTAGCCAGGGAATCCAGAGAACCAGAATCAGACCAAAAACCTCCACTTTTTGCCCTAACCAGATGGATGTGCTGAAAGTTTGTTTGCCTTTCGCCTTGGCTGTTTGGATGGGTGTTACTTCCGCAAACATAAAATGGCAAGAATGTCAGAAAAAGGGGGGCGAAATCGAGGGAAAATCGGGGAAAATCGGCTAAGGAAGGATAGGACCCCGTGATCCATTGAAATATGACAAAATGCTGTTTGAGACATTTTCAGTTATTGATACGCCCGTCCGTCCATCAGGCAAAGAAAAGCTGAAATGAATGAAAGTAGGGAGCCGGGTTTATGATGATGTGAGGAGTGGAAATATTATTAATATGCCAGCCAAAAAAGAAGAGGAAAAATAAAGAGCCGGCGATGGGAAAGAAAGTAGTAAAATCCCCCGGAAAATTGAAAGCAAAGTTTCGTCTGATAAATAGGGAAAAGGACGGGTGGTTTCTGCCAAATGCCACACGCACTTTATCACAAATCAAGCCAAGTTTTTTCAGGGGTGGGAAGGAGGGGGGTGTTGAAAATGGGGGTTTTGGCCAAAAGTCACGCCCACATCGCCCACCGCCCGCTGCTGCTGCTGTGATAAATTTGATGGGAAAAGAAATTATGAGGGTGTCGCTGGCTCAAGAAGGCGATGCTTCTGCCGCTGCTGATGCTGATGATGTCCTGTAAACACAGGCTCGGGCATAAAGATATGACGCTATAAATATGCCAGGCGATAAATTTCCCCAGTGTCATGAAAAAAACGCTGCGAGGGAGGAAGGGGGAAAGCAGGGAAAGCCCTGCTCAAAAATCGATCAATGGCATATTTATCATATGTGTGGTGGCGGGATTTTTCGGGGAAACCATTCGCACATGGCCTTGCGGTTGAGTTGGCCAAAGTTGTGACATTTGTTGAACATTTGTGATTTAAGTTTGGTTTTTTTAAGGGAAGAAACCTGTGCTTCTTATTAAATAAGAATTTATAAAAATGTAATATTCAAATACCAGCACAACACCAATAAGCCATTTATAGTTTCCTCTCTGTGACTCTTTAAATAGAAAATCATATTTTATAGCAGGTACAACATAAAGCTTTTAGTTATCGTTTCCCAAAGAACATGGCCTGCAGCATTTGATATTTGAGAAATTCCAAAAAGGTGTTTGCCTGGAACCTCACGAACATGGCCATGAATCAATCCTAGTTTATGGCCACGCAAATTGCTTTCCATTTAAATGTACATAATTTCTAGGCGGGAGCTTAACGAGATGAGTATTAAATTTGAAGGGAAATGTGGAAAATGCCATCGTAAAAGTGCGGCACATAAATGTAAATTGTAATTTCCGCTGTGCGTTGGGGCGCTGCCACTTGTGGGTGGTTGGGTGGGTGGTGCCGCCAAGTTGAATGAACTTGTTGTTGCATGCGTTTGGCTGCAATTAAAATTACATGCAGTGCATTCTCCATTCTGCGTTCTGCCTTCTCCATTCTCCATTCATAGTGGCTGTCATTAAGAGGAGTATGCATTTTAATTGATGTTTCTGCTGATGCTGATTCAGATTCAGATGCTCATGCTGCTGCCTCTGCTGCGTTGACAGAGTGACCAAGTTAAAGACAGATGTATGACAGATGTCAGTCAACTTGGCAGCCGACTTTCCATTAATTAGGCATAATATTTCATTAGTGTAATGAGCGCCAGGCAGTGGGAAATGTGCCAGCTACTAGCGTCTAATGAAAGCAGGGGCACAAAAAGCAGGCAGCCACTATCTGCGCTCTGCTATGCTACACAGAAAAAAAAAACCATTTACTAGGGTATTTTTTTTTGTAAAATGATTATATTATTTTAAAATCAAAATTTATTAAGCTGATTGGAGTCAATATATAGAACCATTTGATCAATTGCTAAATCGCTTAGGTGCTTTCAGCTTACACACAAAAAAAACACCTCGCGGTTAAATTGATATGCGCATGGTATCGTTTTTACCGTGTAATATTTCTTTCCTTCACGGAGATTCTCTGACTTCGAAAAATAGTGGTAGAGCGAGAAGTACAAACTCGAAATTGATACCACATAACGTGAAATCGATCATCGTTACATATCAAGTTTTTTTTTGGGGTGTACAGCGCTTTTATAACCGTGTATGCAAAACAACAGACTTGAGGTCTGGCCATGTGAAATGTGTGAAAAGTTGGCATGTTTTTCAGCTGCTCCTTTGCCTGTTTGCCGACTTGGCTGCCTTTCATTATGCGAGTGCACATTAATTATTTTGTAGTTGCAGCCGCTACAAAAGGCGTACTAGTACTCTTTTCCCTGCTTTTTTCTGTTTTTTTTTGTTTCTTTCTCCAATCCAACTGTGAGTGTCGGCGAATGTTGTGTGAAGTTGCCGAGAGATATCAGCAGCAGACTTATTTTGTTTGGGGCTCAAACTAATTTGACGGGCTCAACGATTGAAATGTTGGTCTTTAGCGTAGTCTCTTTTTTTTCGGTTACGGTTTCGATTTTGAGCAGGAACACAATCTTAACATGTTAGTCATTGCTTTACGGGGGCGTCACATGCAGTTGTCCATCATACTTAAGTGTGCTTAGAACCGGAGTGCTTTATCAGCCGCATTTCTTCTTGTGGGGGCTTCTCCGCTGTCCGCTGATTCAGGTTCCACTGTAGCGCGTATTTCGTCATGATGGCTTTAAACCGATATGATGGCAGGCTAAAGCCCGGCGCTTCCTACCTTTCTACCTCCTTTTCCCGGGGGCCCTGTTCTATGGCTCTAATGACATAATCTGCTTTTGGCCAACACACACACACACTAGAGAAACAGAAACAGAGAGCCCTTTAACTAATCCGCTTAAGTGACTTTGTTGGTGCTGTATATGTTGTGTGTGCGTTGTATGAGCTGTGTGCCGTAGGTGATTCTTCTCCGCTTCTCCAACTTCCACTTCATGCATATTAAACTTATCGCCGGCAAACAACCGCAATTATAAAATTATAATGATAATGCCCGACTAGGGAGCGGCAACCGCTGACAGTTGGACTGTCATTTCGGCTGATGATGGCGATGATGTTGCCTTTGCCGCTGATCTGTCAGCCAGATAAACGCCAGAGCCAAAAGAGTTATTAAAACAAGGCCTAGTGGCTTTAACTACGCTCAAATGCCAGAGATTTCTGCTACTTACTAAAGCGAGTAGTAAAACCAAGAAAAACCTGTTTCGCCCGTTGCAGTTGCATTCCCACTAATTGCTAGCTAATTACCTGCACGATATTAATTGCCACTTTCTATCTCTTCCATTCATTGCAGAAAATGCCAGGGGACACCGCGGCGTATACTTAATCTTGTCAACGGGCGAAGGAAGAAGCAAGGCCAAAGCAAACATGAACTGCCTTTGTCGCCCATCGCGGATTATGTCCGTGCGCATTAATTTGCTGGATGAAACCGAGTTTATACACGAGATCAAGGTGAGTTCTCCTCATATTCCTTTTACCCCTCACATAGAAAAATATCGATATGATTAAGGTCAAATTTACAATTTAAGCATATCAACTTGATATTTTATCAATTCAGAAAAGTTATACAAATACTGTTTTAAAATACCAAATGTAGCAATTTTTCATATCAAAATGATATGATTTTTTCATTCTGTGTAGGTAAACACATTCAACTCTTTTGCTTTCACCCCTGATGATGTATCATCATCATCATCATGATGAGCGTTTTGTGGCCACAAAAAGTGTTGCATACTTTGCACGTGCCTCGGATTTTTAGGGGTGCCAAAGCTACACCTCCACCATCCTCATCAATATTTAGTGCGGGGCCTTGTGACTTGGCAAACATGCAAAGTGTCATCATTCACACGTCCATCGCCACAGCTGTCTGCTGGATTTTCCATGTCTCTTGGCTTAAAACTGCTCACGTTTGCCAAATTAAATGGGTCGCTTGGGCGGCAGCGCATCCCTTTGTCTCCGTCTCGATTTTCCTCCACTCAGCTCTGCTGGGAAAAATTGTGCTGATTTTGCACGCCATCTCATAGTTGGCATCATGGTGCGGGCAAATCAAATAAATTGTTGTGATTCTTCTCCGCCACCCGGCTGACTGGCTGGCCTGGTTGTCTGCTCTTTGATTTCAGCAAACCTTTGCAAAATCTTGTCCCAATAAAATCCAAATGAAAAAGGAAACTCCCAGTCGCAGCATATTTGTATTTGTCTCTCTGGCTTTTAATTGAAAAATATTCGGATTACGATTCTGATTGCGATTCTGAGAACGAGAACGAAATCGAGGTCATAAATCAGTTATGAATGTTCGGAGGAAATTTCATTAAAATGCTATAAAATAGTTCGATGACATCAAGAACATATCGATTGTGGATAAATCACAAGCAGCAAATAGCCATAAAACTATGATCAAAAAAGTCATTTCGGGGTAATTTGGAATTGATTGAAATATTGATTGACTGACCTAAAAATATTATTGAAAATAGCAAAAATAATAAAGAAATTCCCCATGAAATTTTTAAACAATCTAGATAACACTCGTCACAAAAATAACCTCGTTGAAGGTTAAATTCAGTGTAATCGGCTGATTTTCAAGCGAGATAAGGTTCAACTACGACACGATGCCCGATCGTATTCAATGCAAATTCTTGTCATCTTTAATGCGAAGTGCATGTGAGGTCTGCGACATAATTAGCAGTGACTTGAAGGGCCGCCAGTTAATTATGCAGATATATACTATACTATATATATACCATATAGGTTGGATGTGCGTTGTGCATGTTGGGTAATTGGACCAGTTGAGCGTGAGTGGCCCACGGGCTTTTCGTGGCAGCCTGCCGCCTGATTGATCGACCGGGAATCGGGGAACCCGGGGAATCGGGAACTCAACCACGACGACAGGCGACTAGTTCAGCCTTTCCGGGAACTGACTAATGACACAAGAAACTGGTGGCGTGTGTTGCAACTGGCAACTTGTGCAGAAATTGGAGCACGTAAAACGCTAATAATCACAGCTCATCAGGGGAGATTTATAATAATTTTACAAGATCTCGGCCTAAATGGCCGGGGGCTCTGGCATTAGGGGGCGTGGCCAAGTGGCTGCAGCCATTAATGAGTTTAAAATATACAAAAAAACTGGACAGAGAGCAAGTACTTATAATAGCTGGCACAACTTATCGCTTGTCATTATTGGCGGGTCGGGGCGAGTCACCTCGAGTCACCACATGATTGATAAAAGACTCGCCGACAAATTCCGAAAACCCAGGAAAAAATCCACGACAAACAACGTCGAAAGCCCAGCCATGAATGAAAACTCAAAGAGCCGCGATGACGATGGTCTGATATGCAAAAAAGGCAGCGCAAAAAATGCGTGTGGCCGCCAGCCTCAAAACGTAATTTTATTTACACGACTAAAAAGACCAAAAGACTGGGGAGTGAGGGCAGAAAGGTAACTTGGGCCAAAGGCAGACTGTCTGTCAAATTGCCACGGCGACGTTGTCGTTTGGGCCGTGTTGATTTTGACGGCTGCCGATGGCACTAAGCGCACGCACTTAAAGCCACCAAACGGCTGCAGTCTGCCATCAAAGACAAAAGCTGGGGGAAGGTGGCTAAAGATATACACAGCGAGAAAAATATGATATCATAATGATCAGTCATAAGATTGGACATGGATTATATCAAAATAATGACACATATTCTTTATAACTAATAACATACGTATATAATTATACTATCTATCTACACGTTATCTACATAAATCAGGGGTCTCATTTTTCCGTGTACGTATAGAGATTTATATAAAGAAAAAAGGGAGATGAAGAGCAGACTATGCGGTTGACTCGTTTTGCATTTCATTTGGCGCCCAGTCAGTCAATGCTGCATCACACATCTATACATACATCATACATATGTATGTACTCACATCTCCACTCTGCAGTTGCGTAATCGATATTTCATGGCCACGACAAGAGCTGCGCCAAACGTTGCGTATGAGTGATTATTCGGAATGCGTTATCTTGCGGATTAAATTTAAGTCGACAAGCGGCAAACAAACAAATTCAAACAGATACACCCGCCAATAAAAAGCCACAAAGTTATGAATGAAATTCGTTCGGAATTAATTTAGTTGAATCATAAAGGGATTTATTAATTGCTAACTTTTTTTGCGGCTATGGAATTATTTTTATTAAGCTTAGATACATATGTAGTACATGTAAGCTAATTTAACTAACGAAAAAATTGAAAATTAATTCATAAGCAGCTTGGAAACAAAAGCCACAAAAATGACAATATAAGCTTTGTAATTAATTTAATCGGGCTTTATTATAAAAAGGAATAATCATAATGAAAAGCTAAATGTCAAAAAATTACAATTTCAAATAACAAAGACAACGTAAAGATATGTAGTTTGTGAACTCTTTCATAAAAGCAATTGTATTATATTATAGAAAGTAGGTACTACGATATGTTCGCCTATAAATAAATATATACAAAGCTCATAGTCATTACAATTAGGTAAAACACTTGCAGGTTTATAAAAATAAGATAAAATACTAAACAAAACTAAAAAAAAAACTGTATAATAAATGAAAATCTTATAATTAATATGAAGTTAATAGATTTATACAAACAGTCAGAGTTTAAAATCGAAAACCCATAAATACAAAGTTTTTGGTTTCTTAAGCATTCTTACAAAATCCCCTAGCAAAGGTCTCACACAAAAATTCCAAGAGATCTTAAAGTTCCCGAGACGTAAGTCTGAAAAATGGAGTTGAACCCGGCGAAACCGAAATCGAGACCCTGGAGACCAGTCACTTAAAGGCTGGCAAAACTGTGACAAATTATTTTGACGACTTCATGCCCAGACGACTAAAGACCGGGGGATTTGGGGAACTCTACGTGAGCATATAGACCAGGAATCTGTGAGTCTGCGGGCCATTTATCACGCTTACCATGCTAATGACATTTTGGTTAAAAAGCAAAGTCGGGGGGCTTGGACTCGGCCACTTTTCAAGTGCTCCCAAGCAGATCGGCACTCGAGGCGTTGCGGCCAAAATGGCATAAGCTTGTTATTGCTGGATAAGGTTATATAATTATTTCTTAACGGTTAAAGCCGCTCCGAAGCGGAGTGTGTGGGCATTGTTTGTCCAGCGCTTGATTCTGTCAATACAGGGTGCCATTGGAGACAGTGCTGCCATCACTCAGCTTGAAAAACAGGACAGATAAGCCAAAAAAAACAGGGAAAAAAAGGACAAAAAATTTTCAAAAAGGACAAAAAAAGGGACAAAAGTAAATGCGCCTCCATTTTTCTGTTTTACCAATGGGTTATATAATTACTTAATTTAAATGGATTTTATATTAAATTCAATTATGTAATGACCTACTGCGCCCGACTCACTTCCTTCTTTGTTTGATCATTTTACCATGGTTAATTTTTGTGCGTATACGTAATAATCTAAAATTATTAAAATAATAAAAGCATTTCAAGTAACTATATTGGTAATACAAAAAAATGCCATATCTGCGTCAAACCCGAATAAGGGCCGGTTTCTCGAGTGCCGGCTAACATTTCTCGAACAGATAAAGTCCCTGCTAAGGCATTTTGGCTTTCTCGAGCATAAATGTGAGAGCTAACTTTGACAGGGACTCGGAGTCCCTGTTAAGCGTTTTCGACTCGATAGAATGACAGCTGATTTCCCAAAGCCAACTAAGAAGAAGAAACGAAATCACAGCTGACTTTTCCTTAAAATTATACCCAAACAGCTGATAAAATAATCGAAGCATGCCATTTTTTGCGCTTCACAGCACAATTCTGTGCGTTAACAGCACTCTGTAATTGTTTCTCGTTCAGATAAATTAAAGCAGTCGAGAAAGCGGATTTGCTTTTACGAACAGTTTATCTGGTATTTAACTTTTTCGAACAGATAGCTGTCAGGGACTTTGACAGGGACTCGAGAAACCGGCCTTAAGAGTCGTTAAAATCTGAAATTTTTTTCTGACAAAAAAGCAGAGAGTAAAAATTGAGAAATTTTTAAAGTGTTTTCCCCTTTTTTTGCTACAGAAAAAATCGTACTATATAGAAAATCCATCGACTGCTTTACGTCTCATTGATAATTTGTAAAAATAATTATTTTTTTAATGCCGAACTGTTAGATTGATGGTTAAAAAGGCGTTTTAGCATATAAAAACAGGTTTACACACTTTCGACTGGCAAAAATAACACTCAAGACCTTTTTTTTGAAAAAAGGACAGATTTCCGGATAGGGGATGTTTGAAATTTTTTCCGGATAAACCCGTTAAAAAAAGGACAGATCTGTCCGGAAAGAGGACAAAATGGCAGCACTGATTGGAGAATTTATGTAAATCATTCCACGGCACTTGAGCTCAGTTCACTTCACACCGGCCACAATGACAGGCCGAAATGGAAAATGGTTAGTTCGAGTGCTTCACGAGCAAACACTTCGAAA